ACTGAGCATCTGGAATAGTTCTTTGGCGGCTGCGCGATAAGTCCATGGCCTTGGAGTTGGACGGACCAAACTTGACCTCCTTGCAGCTGTCGTAGAAGCCAGTTCCGTACGTCTCGAGATGAGCTGGTCGAGCTCGGTGACCATCGTCTTGCCATTCTGTCCTGCGTTTTGGTGACGTTGAGGAAGAGGGACTGATCGGGCGAGCAGGTGAAGGTGCAGAAGAGGTTGAAGAAGTTCTCCTTGCAGGCAGGACAGGAGGAGAGGATCTGTTTCGGGGTGCCGAGATTCGAAGAGAGAGCCGTCACCTGGGAGGAGGGCGAGTCAGCATACTGTTGGACCACTATTGAACTACCTAGTGAGGGACTAGTGAGGGAGGCACGGCATCGTTGGCGTACCTGTTCGGCGTCACAGCAGACAGGGCCCGAGGCCCATTTCTCTCCACAAACGTCCATGATCTGGTTGCGAAGCTCCTCATCAGGATACTCGGCGAGGCCGTTGTCAACGCACGGCAGCTGCTTGCCGAACCAGCTCTTGGAGCCGCAATGGCCGCGAATGGCACAGCGACCAGCCTCGTGTCGCGGGGTCAAGGGTAGGGCGCCCATGGCGAGAGGGGCGAGGAGCAGGGCGCCGAGCATGTTGCGAAGCTGCGTCATGACGCACACTCCTTGCCGACTAGCGGCAGTCGTCACGCTGTCGAGGTGGTTCTATGGATGCTGGGCTCGCAATGGGAACGAGGAACAAGCTCGAACAGAAGTGCGTGATGGGTCAGGGAGAAAGCAGTAGGGGTGGACAGATGGGAGGTGGAAGCGGCGAGGTTGAGGACCGTTGAGGAACGCGGCGAGAATGGTCTCAGTTGCCTGCGACGACGTACCTCTCGACCGTTGGTGGGAGAGAGAGAGAGAGCCTTGGGAGCTTCGACCCGGATCGGACTGGCTCACGCTGCCGAACTGCGGCGTGGGTGGGTCCAGTCGTGTGATGCGTCATTCGCTCTGTCGCTGCACCTGCGGCCCATCCGGGGAATTCGCTCCAGCCGACTCAGTATGCCTCCAGGTGCCTGGACGTCAGTGCTTAAGCCTGTGCTCGAGTACTCGAGCACTCTCGTACCTACGCTAGCGCCCCAGCCACCGGTGCTCAACCGCAAGACGTTCCCGTCGTCATCGTGGTCATCGTGCCCCCGAGGCAGTCTCTGCCAGCTGTTGCCTGGCGGCTTATCTCTGCTGTGTTTCGTCCGTCCTTGCTGAGACGTCACTGTGCTCCCTCGCATCGTCACCATGACCTGTATGCACATCAAACCGCTCCTCAGGCGGCAAGTTGTTATGCTCGACCAGCACTCGGCAGCAGAAATGTCCCGCCAAAAGGCTTGACCTGGCTTAGTAGGCTTACTCACAGCGAGGCATGGTCGACGCTGATCTGCTGGTATATTGGGTTCTCTCATTTGGTGGGACATTTCAGTCAATTGTCAACCGCTTGTCGGTTCCTAGGTACCTACCTAGGTTGTCACAGCACATCTCGGCAAAACTCCTCAACAGCTGCCACCAGCCGGTCGACGTGCTCCTGCTGGTGCACAATGTTCAACGACGCAAACCCCCGACTCGCAACATAGATGCCCCTCCGCAGCATGAAAAAGTAGAACGCCGCGCGGATCCGGGGCCCGTCGGGGCCGAGAAAGTCAAAGCCGGCGACGTTGCTGACGCCCGTCACGCGGACGACGGCGTCGCCCCTTCGCGCAAACGCGCCGGCGACGCCCTGCCGCAGACGGTGCCCCAGCTCGGCCGTGCGCTCGAGCGCCGCGCGCGAGAGCAGGTCGGCGCCGACGCAGCCGGCCGTCATGGAGAATGTGTTGTTGTTCCAGGTGCCCGAGTGGTGCAGTGTGTCGGGCGTGGCGCGGGGGTCGAAGAGAGCCATGATGTCGCTGCGCCCGCCGAAGGCGCCGAAGGAGAAGCCGCCGCCAAAGTGCTTGCCGATGGTCGTCATGTCGGGCGTGATGCCGAGGTGCTCCTGCAGGCCGCCGTAGAAGAGCCGGGACGTGATGATCTCGTCGAAGATGAGGACGGCGCCTATGCGCGTCGCCTCGACGCGGAGCATTTGCAGGAAGGCGGGCGTCGCCGGGATCATGCCGCCGGCGCCGAGCATAGGCTCGACGAGGATGGCGCCAATATCGAGTGTCAAGCGCGCGCGCGTCGTCTCGGCGTCGTTGTAGACGCCCATGACAAAGTCATGCGGCAAGTTCAGGGGGTTGGTGCCGGCGAACATGAGGGTGCCGCCGTGGTAGCCTCTCTCGAAGACCATGACCTGGGAACAATCAGCAGCTGCATAGCAACGCGGGGGGACATGCTTGTCTGGCCTTTTTCCGCTTCGTCGAGTGAAGTGCAGTGGCAATGGCCATGGTGTTGGCCTCTGTGCCCGAGTTGCAGAAGCGTATCGTGTCCATGCTCGGAAACCTGCTGACCAGCTTCTCGGCCAACTCGACCTCGCGCTCGTTGGGGCCGCCAAGGTTGAAGCCGCCTTGGGCTGCACGGTCGATGGCATCGAGAATGGCAGGATGCGAGTGGCCGTAGATGCCCTCATTGTTCTCGGAGAC